GCCTCCTCCGGTTGGCAGCCCGTGCCCGTCGCGCAGCGCGTCCTCTCTCATCGTTCCGTGGAGAGTGCAGGTTCGACGACGATCAGCTTCGATGTCGGCCGCCGAAATGTTCCTCCTCTTGTGGTTATCTCCACGTTCCGAATCACGCCGTCAGGTCCAGGGTAGGTATGGGCTACGATGCCGCGTGGCCACGTGTTTCGAGGCAGAGCGTGGTCGGCTATGATAACCACGTCTCCGGTTCGTACTTCGCTGCTTCGTGGACGTTGTGGGTCGCGGCGTGGTACGAGGGTCGGTAGGTACTCTCGTAGCCAGCGTTTCCAGAAGGCGTCGGCTAGTGCTTGCGTCGCCCTCCAAGTCCTGCGGTCGCCCTCTTCACATGGCCCGGTGTATGGAAGGCCGGTCGATGACCCCAACAAGAAGTGGTTTGGGGTTAGCGCCTCCGGATCGCTTGGGTCTACGGAGACATGCGTCAGTGGTCGCGAATTGACAGCATGTTCCGCCTCGGCCAGTAGAGTGTGCAGGACCTCCTCTTTCGGTGCTCGTTCGTTTAATGTGGCGTTGAGCGCGGTTTTCACGGAGCGAACCATGCGTTCCCAGGCTCCGCCTTGGTTAGGTGCTCCCGGCGCGATGAATTTCCATGTGGCATCGTAGTTCATCGCCTCTCTCTTCAGCTCGGGAAGCCACTCGGTGTACGCCTTCTTGAGCTCGGTGTCAGCCCCTCGGAAGTTAGTGCCGTTGTCACTATATATTACGGCGGGCCATCCTCGTCGTGCTGCCATTCTTCGCAGCGCCATGATTGCGGAGTCAGTGGTGAGTGATGCCACCAGCTCCAGGTGCACGGCGCGTATCGTCAGACAGGTGAATAACGCCACCCATCTTTTCTCTCTTCGTCTTCCAATTTTGATGGTGACTGGCCCGAAGTAATCAATCCCACAATGACTAAAGGGACGTCTGAAGGGCTGTAAACGTTCTGCGGGCAGATCCCCCGTCGGCGGGCTCCTTGGCTTCGATCTTCGTAGTCGACACATAAGGCAGCCTGCTGCGACTTTCTTAACTGTTGGTCGCAGCCGCAGGATCCAGTACTGCTGCCTGACGTCGTTGACCACTCGCTCGTTGTTGCAGTGTCCCGCTCGTCTGTGCTCTCGATCAATAATTTTCTTCGCGAGTTCGTGGCGTCCGTCCAATAATACCGGCTTCTTCGCTGTTTCCGGTACGTCCGCCTTGTTAATGCGTCCGTTTAGTTTCACAAGCCCGTCCTCCCAAGTGAGGTCGTAACGGTGCAGAGGGCTCGTTCGTGCTACGGGGACTCCTTTCTTCAGGCACTCGATTTCTTGGCTGAAGGAGTCTTGTTGCGCCTGACTTCTCGCTCGTCGAGATCTCTTAGGTGTCGTAGCTTCATCGCCTCCGCCGGTATCGATTGCGGCGTGAGGTCCAGGCCCACCATGGTGCGAGCGTTGATTTTGAAGATCTGGTCACTGCGCGCTCCTTTTATTCCAATCTTCACTCGACGGCTCTGCACGTGACTTTGCTTCTTGTTTATTCCTCGGACGTTGAGCTGTGCGGTCGGTCCGTCGGCGCCGATCTGTCGCGCCAGGTCGTCGTCTAATAAGGTGACCGTCGAGCCTTCGTCGAAGAGCGCGTAGGTGTCGCAGCTCCCACGTTTGCCCGTGATTGTCACGGGGCAAATCTTCAATTTGACGGCGCGGCTTGTCGTCGTGGCAGCCGTCGTCGTTTCGGTGGTGGCTGGTTCCGTTGCGGCCGCGTTTGAGTCGGTCGCGCTCGTAGCCACGTCGTTCGTCGTTCCACGCTCATCTGCGTGCAACAGTCGGTGATGCGGTCGCTTGCATCCGTTGATTCCGCAGAGCTTCTGTCGGCAGTTCAATCGACGGTGCCGGCCCACGATGCATTTGAAGCAAAGCCCCTCCTTCTTCACCAGCTCCCATCGGTCATCATACGTTAGCTGCTTGAATTTTGGGCAGCTAGGTAGTGTGTGGGCTTCCTGGCATGAAAGGCATCTGCGCTGCGGTGCTTCTTCGGTGGCGACGTACACCGTCTTCTTCTTAGCCTCCGGTCTGGGGGCGGGGCGAGGCGTTTCTCGTGTTCGTTGCGATGTGGAGGGTGCGGTGAGGTTCGATACATAGTTGTATCGCATGCAGCGGTCAGCTTCCTTCATCAGGAACGATGAAAGTTTGAGTAGATCGGCGTTCGGGCCCGGCTGTGACTCGGCGAAGTTGCACCAACTCGATACAAGGTAACTTGGCATCTTGTCTAAGACTTCCCGGGTCAGCAGTGGGTTAAGCAGGTACTCTGGCTGCACGTTCCTCAGGACGGCCACGACGTTCTGTAGCTTCACCGCAAACATATTAAGATCGTTCGCGGTAGGTCCAATCTTCGGCAGCTTCCGTAGATCGGCGAAAGCCATGTCCACTAGTCTTTCTGGCCTTCCGTAGCATTGCTCCAATGTTCGCATGATCTCGTCGGGGTGCGTCGCGGTGCTCAACAATGATGCGACGTTTTCCCGAGCTTCTCCACGTAGGCAGTTTCTTAGTCTTGCCATATTCTCTGTAGGTGTGAATTCGTACAGCCGCGTTGTTTCTCGCATCGCAGTCGCGAACTGTAGCCATTCCAGCGGTGAACCAGAGAATATCGGTAGATCCGATGCTTGACGCGGCGGCGGTCGTGACTTCACGAGAGTTTCGAGGACAGAGGCGAGTTGATCGATGCCTCTGCCTCGCGATGACGACCGTCTTCGTTCTTCCCTATCTGGGCGTCGCGTGTCGCGTTCAGGTGGCGGTTCAGCCACGGCGGTCCTTGAGAGCTCCCCCCGTTGTTGGTCGACGTTCGCGTCGTCGAGCCACTCGAACACTCGATCTTGTAATTTATTTGCCGGTTCTTCAGCTTCGGGTTCGCTCTCTGCTCCGTCTAGCGTTTCTAACTCGATATTGAGCGTCTTTTTTATGAGGTCCGCTTCAATTTCGAGTTCTCGGCGTCTTATGGCAGCCAGTCGTTCTTCTGCTTCGATGCGTAGCTTCCGGCGTGCCGCGTTGCTCGCTGCCGAGCGGGTCGAACGCGCGACGTGCACTCTCTTCGCCGGTTGCACCGATGACGTCATCGCAGATGTCGTTATTCCAGTAGTCGCCGCTGTGTCCGTTGGGTGTGCTGCGCGTTCGTCCGCTCCGCTCGGCGGCTGCGTAGTCACTGCCAAGGCGACGCGTGCTCCGGCAACGTCTGCCCCAGCGCGGTTCGCGTTAGGCGCTAGTTGCGAGACTTGCGGTGCGGTGCGTAGGCTCTCCCCGGCGTTACCCGTCTCGAGGCGTCCTCGTACGGTCGGTGTACTTGAGGGCGATCTCGGCGGCTGGTCGAAGACACGACGTTGGTTTTCTTCGTCTTGGCTTCTTGTAAGCACCATCTTGAATTGCTGTTGCTGGATCTCGAAGGTTCTATGCGTGTTTAGATCCGGCTTCTCGAAGGACCAAAACTATTGAGGGTGGTGATCCGGCTCGAAGGACCAAAACTATTGAGGGTGCTGATCCGGCTCTATGGACCAAACTGTAGACGATGTATAACCGTGGATGATGGTGAAAAACAAAGACGAATTTCTTCTATAGACGTTTTATTTTTCTTCTTACTGGCTACTTATTACTGCTTGACTATACTGCTTGACTGACTTGACTTGACTACTTGCTGAACTGACTACAATATTTACAAATTTGGCCCTACCCTTATTCTAAACTTAACATCTAACTTAGATACTAGTGACGCGCGGCGGCCGACCAATCACAGCGCGTTTTACGCCCGCGCGCCGGGTGGGGGAATCGCCCCCACCGTGCGGACGGCGCCTACGCAGCCAATGGGCTCCCCGATAATTCCGCTAATGTAGGCGCTGTGATTGGTCGTTCGATCTGTACATTTTTCGGCACGTGGCTGTTGATATGAGCAGCACTAGGACGGAGCGTAGACTTCATCAGACGTGACCTTTCGAGCTTAACATTGATATTCAATGTGCCTCTAACGATTCGGTGATCGCTACCGGTTTTCACCCTGCTGATCACGGAGACATCATTGAATATGTGCTTTCTGGTTGTCATGATGAAGTCGATCTCATTTTTTGTCGAACCATCAGGGCTCATCCAGGTCCACTTCCTGGAGGGTCTCTTCTGGAAGAAGGAGTTCATCGCAAAGAGTCCCTCCTTCTCCATGAAATCGACCAGCTTCTGGCGCCGGTGGTTGCGCCGCCCATACCCAAATCGACCCACCCTCAACTCATCGCCGTTCGAAGCGCCCAGCTTCGCGTTAAAGTCCCCCATTACAACGGTGAAGTAGGTATTAGTCGTATGTATGGCTTCAGAAATCTCCTCATACATAGCCTCTACCTCATCGTCGGAGTGTGAAGAGGTCGGGGCGTAAACCTGTATGACCTTCAGCGAATACCTTTCGGTAATTCTGAGTATAAGGTACGCCACTCTGCTCGACACACTATCGATCTTCACCACGTTGTTCACGAGGGACTTGTGAACGAGAAACCCAACACCACCTTGAGATTTTTGATCTCCTTCCCGGAAGAAGAGCATGTTACCGGACTCAAGGATTACCGTATCCTGGCCCTCTCTTCGGATTTCGGATAATCCCACTATGTCCCATCGCAACTTGCTCAATTCCCCACGATTAATAATCCCCACGCTTGGCAGGCGACTTGGGATCGCAGTAGGTGGTGGTAGATGATACCGGGAGGCGCTGCTGCCCGCCTTCCGTATAATCCCTTTGTCGGCTCCTACGACACCCACGGGAGGATATGGGGGGTGCTACTCTTAGGCCGGCACCCCACGGCTTCTTCTCCTTTATATCCTCTAAATTAAATATTTCCTTTATATAAACCCTAGTTTATAATAATAATAATTAGTAAACTTTTCAAATCCTAATGTCGACAGTTAACTTTGAAAGTAGTCATAAAACCCCTTTTTTATGTAAGGTTTTTTAAATTCAATAGAATTATCTTTTCAGGAAATAATTTCAATAAATGGAAGGTTAAAAGGTATGGTTTAAGCAAAATTTTGACGATTTTGAGTTATACGTCACTGCTGTAAGACTACTTACTGTTACTGCCGCTTATCTTCTTGTTCTCTTCAGTAGCAGGCCTTAAATATTTTTCATCTAATCCAAATTTAGCATTAATTCCTTGTATTTGAGGACCGGAACTATCTTCTATATTAGATCTAAAAATGTTTATTTAAATCTTACAATACAAACTTTCGTTCCCTATTTTAATCCTTGACCCAAACGATAACGCGATTTAAAATACACTATGTCATCTAGTATATCAAAAATAATTGTTTAAAAAATATGTTTTAATTAAAAACTTAACACCCATTTTCATTAACCTAGAACATGGCACAGCTCAACTAGGAAACGTCTAATTAAGAATCGCCTAAGAAGATTAGTTTAATTCCAAATAAATAATAATAATAATATTCTTTATTGCACAAATATAGGACACATTACAAAGAAAGAAAAAGATATCTGACAGTATACAAAAAGGCTAAAAAATATATGCAGCAATTTCTTCCAATGGCAATGGTAGTACAGAAAACATTAATAATAATGATGATGAAGGGGAGTAAATGCAATAGCGACAGGAATTAAATAGATATACCTAAAACAATATTTTTTTTCTTGTATCCCTTGATATAGTTATGTCCTGTCCTATACACAAAGGCCTAGTGCAAGGCGCCGCGTATCGATTATCACACTTGTAGACATTGCCAAATTTAGTTAGGTGGTTCCTAGTCAATGGTGAAATGCATTTTTACCTAAGGCGATTCCATAATATTTAAGCTACAGAATTGGGAGACTCCAGTTTAGTGAAAACAAGCATAAGTCTAATTATCTTGACCAAAAGAATAGCGAATACACTTGACGCCATCTAGTTATAGATAAATATATAGAACAGCAGTTTTTGTTTCGTGTATAAAATGACTTGAATATTTTCAAAAATTTAAAATCAAAATAAATCAATTTTATTGCTATACATACACTAGATCTAAGGGGGGCACTTGCCCCAGAAGTGCCACCACTTATAAAGCCAAATGTTTAAGGGACAGACAAAAAAGTCCTTAAATTAAATACCATTTAATCCTATTAATATTATAAAGGCGAAAGTTTGTAAGTATGGATGTATGGATGTTTGTTACTCTTTCACGAAAAAACTACTGGACGGATTTGGATAAAACTTTACAGCAATATAGGTTATACATCAGAATAACACATAGGGTACTTTTTACTGGGAAAACTTCTCACTCCCACGGGATACCGACTTCCACGCGGACGAAGTCGCGGGCGTCCACTAGTGCTATAATAAAATAATAATGTTAAAATGCTATGTGAAAAAAAGTTTCTAATGTCCCCAATTTTCCTGTGTTTAACACTGGTTAAAATTTTCATGCTAAGCAAATACACTTACTTTGAAGTTGCATAGAAGTTAATCGACATATCAGACACTTCTTGAGACTCACTGGACTTTTTATTACTGGGTATGAAATAAGGCGTGGAGCTTTGTGCCATTTGTATGTGAGGATCTGTTCTGTGATTATCATCCATTTTTTTGTGCAACCATTGTATTACTGAAACAATTGATTTTTTAAACATTGAAGAACTATATTTATTTGACACTTCATTGCACAACACAGCAAAAAATAATAATACAGTAGATGTTGTAAGTTTTATGTGTAAAATAAAAAATTAACTCATATGAGATGAAAAATAACTCTATTATTTGATTGGGGATTTCTTATTCAAATATTTCCATTCAAATAAAGTAGAAATCTAAATGTTTCATCATTGAGGAAGTATTTAAAAATAAAAAGAAAGCACTAAAAAAGCACCTCCACTAGATGGTGAACTCTAGCAAAAGATGATTTTTGCAGGAAACAAATGAACCAAAGATAGTCATTCCCGTTCCTTTTAAGTAACATATTAAAAACCAGAAATTTGCAAAGTTCGAAACTTAGATATCAATACAAATACGAAAATTTTCAAATTGAAAATGAGTTGTTTATTGAGTTTTGAAAACTAATTTACTTTTATACATTAAAGAAAACCGAAAGGGTAGTCATGGAGAAATCAAGAAAGTACCGTAGCGACATCTAGTTTAATTTCGGAAACTAATGTTTTTTTTTAAATACTTCCTCATTGGCTTGATTAGAAACAAGAAGGAAAAAATCAGTAGACATTTCAAATAAATTTAGGTATATATCTAGAGCTTTGAATTCAGATTGTTGCTTAATAATACAGTTTCAAATATAATTTACTTTTCAATGTTTCAAATTCATGGAAAGGCATGGCAAATCTGTAAAAGACCTATAGCTATAAAACTAAGGGTCTTTTGTATAATCGTTTATGTATATTTATCTTTGCTTTTAATCAACTCACCCATATTGTTATTCTTAATAGTTTCTTCTCTATCTTTAAGTGCTTGTTCATTGCTTTTATACTTGTCCATCAACTCACTTAACTCTTCTTTAAGTTTTTCTAATTTCTGATTGGTGCTATGAATTTCAGACTTAAGATCTTCTATTTCTTTGGAATTTTTCTCTATTACTTTCTCTTGTTCTAACGCTATTGCAGTTCTACATAACAACTGCGAATAAGGAATATGAATGTTTATTTTTCATAGTATTAATATTATACTGATGAGTTCAAATTAATTGAAATTTGCAATAAAAACTAAAATATTTCAATAATTTACACGACACATAAGTTGAAACGAAATGGTGATTTTTTGCGCAGGTATAGATATGGATGGATTATACTTCGACTCTTCGGGAGCTCGATGGCGCAATTTTTAGCGCGCTCGGTCTGCGATACGGTTGTTAAGCAACTTTCGCAATGGCTGATAATAGGATGGGTGACCAAAAATTTAAGCTCTTCCGTGATTCGCACTGGACCCGCGCGGTGAGTCACGGTCCATTCTCCCTGTTAGATTCCATCCATAGGGAAGGCCTGAGCCCCAACAGCGGGGACATTAATAGGTTGGTGATGTATACTTGGATTGAGGATGTAACTACGCAGTTAAGGACATAGTACAATGCGCCGCGATATGTACTAGGTTAAAATTTAGTATAAAAAAATACATAATAACATATAATTTCTGAATTGAGTATTTAAAGTTAAGCACTTCCAAACTGTACTTAAAAAGGTTTTCGTTTCCTATTTTATTTTTTTAATGATCAGTTGATGTAGGGAATGAAATCTCGCGAGATCGGGGCTCGGGCGAGATCTCGCCAATTTCGAGATCTCATGAGATTGACTCTTTCGTGTGTTATTGCAAATAATCACTATATTTAAATAAATTAGAAAAAATATTTAATATAATTTACCTTTTCCTTCATCTCAATAAGATCTGTATTTTGCTTTGATATGATCTGATTTGCCTTCAAAAGTTGGTCTGATGTGGAATGTGCTGTTTCAGTCTTTTTGTTTACTAATGATTCACTAAGGGACAATCGCTCTTCTAAACTAGCCTGTAAACATAGAAGTCACTTAAGGGCCCTGATACATATTGGCTGTGATTTTTGCGTAAAATGGCAAATTTTGGCGTTCTTGATCTCGGAATCCAAAATATATTAATAATTTCGACTTATTGAATAGTGCAGGGTAACTAGTGGCATAGTTTGTTGCGGCTTCGCTTTTTAATAGAACCCAAAATTACAGAGAAATATTTTCATATAATGCGCGACGGCACTTTTTTGAGCTACTGATCTAAACAAATAATAAAAACATACCTTTTCTTTTTTTAATATTTGTAAGGAGCTATTTAGTTCTTTTATTGTTTCAGAATTTTCTTTCATCGTCTGCAACAATTTTTTTTTTATTAATATTAATACCACATTATTAAACTTATTATATTTCATTCACAAAGAAATATAATTTAATTAATAATCATTTGTCTAATTAAGGAAAGGAAATCAAATCAATGTATGATATTAGATTAAAGCAGAATGAGACTGTGTACAAACAAAAGTCCATTAGGGTCAGACGGAGATGTACATAATAAAGAGAGAGAGAGAGAGAGAGAGCAGCTCATTCATCACTTCTGTTTTGCATAAATGCCCCGACTTTTTCTTTCCTGTATGTCAAATAGTGGTATAGACAATTTTTTTAAATATTTTTATGTTACAGATATATGTACATGAAATATATATATATATATTTTAATAAAACATCATTCATATAATAAGTTAAAACTTAAAATAAATTTTCAAAATTTCCCTCGAAAAAGCTGCTTCTGTTATGGCGTCGCTATGATATCACAACCCAATGAAATTAATATCGTTCTATGCACCAGCTGCATATTTAATTGTAACCCTGAGCTAACTAAGCCTAGTCAGCCTATTTATGTAAAAATGTATCAATTATGAAGCCAATCAACACTATTATTATTATGTATGTGTCGCAGCCAACTGGATAAAATAGCCGTTTAATTGGGTGGCTAGCCACTTAATTGCATGGCACCATTCAATTGCACGCCTAGTTTTCTAATTGAATCATTATGACATTTGGACCATTCAACAAGCCGCCAAAACGTTAATTTAGTTTTGTTATCTGTTAAGAAAATACATGTTGGTATTAACTGTTGTAGCACCTAATTGCGAAATTGTAATAAACATACTAAAACAATCACAGTCAAATATATCGCTTATTCTCATATTGATACGCTCATTTTATCTCATCATGGTATATTTTGTTTTAATTATATTAGTACTTAGAATTTATTATGAAAATTTAAACTTTACCTACTTAACACCCAGTCGTGAATAAGCACTTTATTATAATCTTTTTTATTTTGATCAGTCTTGTATCGGTATTGATTATATATCTAACAAGGAGTTTTGGAGTTTTAAATAAAATCACCCACTACAATATTTCTAAACCACCATTTAACTGTCTTGAAAAGAGATGTACAGAAAAATTATGTATGACTAACTAACTATCTTACTGCAATAATAGCACCCTTAAAGAAACATCAAAAGTGATATTTGGTATGTCACAAATTATACCTGTTCCAAATATGTACATCTGCAATTTAATTGGTTGCATAGTTTTTCTTTTTCTGCAATTTCCCTTTCTAATGATGTGTTTCTAGCTTTCAATGTTGCTACTTCTATATGAGTCTTCTGAACTTCTTTCTCCAAAACATTAATCCTTTGAGATTTTTCACTATAATTATTTTTTAACAGTTAGTCTATGGTAATAAGTGTTACATCTATGACATTTTCAAGATTTTTTTAATAGACAGCAAAATAATTTATGCATAATATATCCATTCTTAAATTCTTAATTAAAAGCAAACAAACCTTATTTGTGTTTCTAAATGTAAAACATTATCTCGAAGCTGGTTACACGTTAAATTTAGCTCTTCAATCTGTTTATTCTTACAGTTTAAGTGTTCTTGTGATTTTGATAGTTGTGCATTAAAATTTCCTTCAAGGTTATTTTGCCATTGCAACTTTTCCTAAAACAAATGACCACAGTTTTTAACTTTCAATTATTTAATTAGAGCTTACCTGTTGATAAGTTTAAGACTCACTTGTGCTAGTTTATCTCTTTCTTTTTTTATTAATTCCTGACATTCTGCATCTCTCCTATATTTATCTTCTTCCATTTTAGACAAGTTAAGTGTCAAATCATGCACTTTCCTTTCTAAATTAACACATTTATCATTCCATAAAGCATCACTACTAGCTGCTGACATTTTCACTGCTGATAATGTTTTCTGTAAAGAAAAAAAATATAATCAGTTCTATAAAGAGCAGAGATTGGATTTTTTGTAATAAGGTAGTGCCACCTCATAAAGTGCACAAATTTGTATTACTGAGGTGTTAAAAGTCAACTACAACAAGTACCATCCTGACGATTCAGCAAACACAGAAGTATGTGTGTTATATGTAACTTTCGACAGGTGTTTTTTTTTTAATTGATCCAGTTGTTTTGTAGCCTATGCCAACAAACAATGAAATATTTTTTTTATAATATTAATTAAATAATAATGATAAGGAAGGACGGAGTATAGTATTTTGACATATATTTGGGAAAATTATATGTAAATGCACAGCTCACTTTTAAATTTGAGATAGTTTCTGCCATGTGTCCTTTTATATCAGCATCTGAAGCAGGCCCCGTTTTTAATGACAGATGTATTAGTCGTTTAAATTCATTATGTTCAATGATTTCTAAGAAGTATTGCATGGGATTTGTCTGTTGCATTTGTAAAAACCTGAAAGATAGCACTGAATTCAAATAAAAATGAAATATATTAATAACTCTGGAATGCACTGTCATTGAATGTCAGACACACCAAACAAGTTTTCAGTTATGTCTCTGGATTATAACCAGTTCTACTGTCTACATCGTTTTCATAGTCTGACAATAAATTTTTTGGGTTATATGTATGTAATTATGTATAAATAAAACAAAACTTCCACACCATATCCATCCATACCTCCTTACTGCTGACTGATAGAGAATGCCTCTATAGCATTAAGTTCTTATTTTTTATTTTTAAGCAAAGAAATAAGTAACTATTTTAGTATCTTGACATAAAACTATAGTTATTAAGAGAATCAACAAAGAAAATATATAGACAAAACATACATGTTATTTGTAGCACACTGTTGCAGTAATCTGACAAGTTGTGAAGGAAAGTTATCAAAATCTATAAGAAGTCCCTGTTGCTTCTTCAATTCCTCATAATCCAATCGACTCACGGTGACAACACATAGGAACGCTGGATCATCTTCATCTGACAGGGAAATTTTCTAAAACGTAATTTAATCGCAATTCATAACTTTTTTTGTAAAATATCTATATAATAACACCAAGATACTGACCAAACAATCAGTTTCAAACACTTTATTTATTATCACATTGATATCCTTTTTATTTTCCTCGAAGCCACGTTTAAAAGTAACGTAATATTTTCCTTTATGAAACATTTTACGAACTATATAATCCTCTTTAATTAGATTTGGCTTCTAATAATCTTTTCAATAAACCAACTCCAGAATAGCCGAATGCAAACGATCCTTTGAAACGAACTTTATATCACAACTTGATCACAACCAATCACAATTCACATTTTTTTTTTAAAAGGTTTTACCGGCCCTGGCTTCCATGGCCCAATCACAACATAAACGAAACCACAGACCACTATAAACTAGTAACGAAACACAACTGACTATAAGTATATTATAGCATAGATTAATACTACTCTTCTCTTTGCAAGCGAAACACGACCTTTCCACCACAAACTTAGTAGGTATCTTTCCACTGTATCTTTCCATCCTCCAATAAACTGATAGAATTAGCAGACCATTAAAATGTCAGTAGAGCGAGTTAGAGAATCAGTTATGATTCAATTTTATCAATATAAACTTATTTTGGACTTTTTGCTTTGACTTAGATTGATCCTGAAGATCATCGTAAAACGAACTATTGTCTTTAAGAATGAATGTTTTATTTTCCTCATTAATTCAGAAAACAACTGCATAAATTTTGCTGACTAATATCTTTGCCTGTCCGAAATAATCTAATCTTAATTCGACAGGTTTTATCTGTAGATTTTGCTTTTATATATGTTATAACAAAGTTGATTTATAAAAAACTTTAACCTACAACTGTTTTATTCTGATTCAGAACAATGATGGGTTGCTCGTAACTTCGAGACTCAATTCATCCGATTTCAGGTTTGAAATGAAGAACAAAATATGAGGAAGTATTTAAAAAAAAAATTAGTTCCCGAAATTAAACTAGATGTCGCTACGATACGTTCATGATTTCTCCATGACCTAACTCCCCAACTCAGCCGAAGTCAAAGTCACAGATCTTTTTTTTTTCTCTTTAAAAATAACATTATTGCGATTTCATGAAAACTATATCATAAACCAATTCCAGAGAACAAATATAACTCGCTCCATTGGAGTGAAACATTTTAACTTAAGAACCAGCCAGCAATCAGAAAATTAAAGGTGTAAAGTAAAAGTGTTAATTTAGGAACGGATAAAAAGTGTACAGTCGGCCCAGAAAGTGGTCTACCACCCTAAGGTTGAATTTCGCGTGTTACGTCAACTAACAACAAGGTTGATTTTCCGTAACATTAATTTTTTGACACGACCTTTGACAGTAATTATCTATACCTATAATAAAAATGTAACAAGGTTACAATTGTGAGATATTTTGGAAAAAAAAATACATGGACGGCCTTCATAAGACTAATAGAAGCCAAAAATATTTGTTTTCTGTCTGTCTGTTTGTATGTTTAAATACTTTAGAGTTAGAATATCGTAAATAAAGTCTTATAGTTGTGGCTACACCACCAGTAAGACAGTAATAAGACTACATCAGTTAATGGAAAATTTATTTGTGTATCCGCCAATGAAATAAGGAGCTCTTAAAAGAACTATTTCAACGTCACTGTCCGTATGAAACAAAGGAGAAAGCAACGCAACAAGTGCGTGTCAACAGCTGCGCGCCACATGTCAACCTTCCGCAGCGTAGTCACCCGCACGCTCACCCGACGCCTGGCAAAAGGGATCTCGTTAACTCTATGCCAGCCTTTATACGCTACGTCACACGATCCCTCGCCCCGCGTCTCAGTCCCTTTCCCTTTCCTCTCGGCACTTTCCCCTTCCATTGTAAATATTGTAGCTTTCTTGTAATTGGTTTAAAATGTACATTTCTCATTGGTTAAGTTTGTATTTATAATTTTAATTGGTTAATATTATATTACGTTTTAGTATAAGTAGCTGTAAGATTTGTAAATAAAACATTCCATCCTTCCACCTTCTACGGAGTTTTACTACCTGACGACAAGCAAGCCTACGACCCGATCAGAGTTGCCAAAGTGGTGACCCCGACGTGATCTTCAACCGACGTGATCTTCAACCGACGTGATCTTCAACCGACGTGATCTTCAACCGACGTGATTTTCAACCGACGTAATCTTCAACTGACGTGATCCTTAAACGACACGACATCGAAGACTCGAAGAACTACGTGATCCTGTTTCGAAACGCATTTTTCTCCTGCAAGAAAAACTTTCACAAGATGGCAAACACGGAAGCAAACCCACCGTCGCCGTCCACATCAAACGAAATCTCCAGCGTCGCACTCCCACTCCGAATACCACCATTCTGGCGCGATAAACCACGATTGTGGTTCGCCGTTTTTGAAGCTGCAGTTAATGAGCTTCATAAAAACGAAGCCCAGAAGGCGCAGATGGTCATCGCCCAGCTAAATAAGGAAGATGTCGAGCAAATCTGCGACCTACTTTACGCACCACCGTCTGAGGGCTATTACACAGTCGTTAAAGAAAAACTCATATCTGCATACGAGGAATCCGACAGCAAGCAGCTACATAGGTTACTCTCCGACATGGAACTCGGAGACCAGAAGCCGAGCCAGTTGCTTCGTCGTATGAAAACGCTCGCTACGGGAAAAATCCCTGACAAAACGCTACAGCTAATGTGGATGAATCATCTACCACCACACGTGCGCTCGATACTCGTCGTAAGCGACACAATGGCCTAAGATACCGCACTCGACGATATCGCCAAACTCGCTGATAAGATGGTAGAACAATATGAAACTCCGTCAATATCATCTATCACTACGCCGATATCTTGTTGACGAGTTTCGTAAAATGATAATTTTAGTTGACGAGTTTCGTAAAATGCACACCGAGATCGCCGAACTGAAAGAAAAAACATCCAATTACCGCAGCAGCTGTAGCGGGCCGCCACATTACCATTACACGCAACAAAGAAACGATCACAGGACGCGGTACACTGCATTCCCGTCTCACTCACGCAACCGCTTCAGAGACAGATCCCCATCTCGCTCCCGCCATCGTTCGACACAAAACAGCCGATCACCATCGCCGTTTTGCTTTTACCACCAGCGCTTCGGATCTCAAGCAAAACGATGCACGACACCCTGCACATATTACAAGAAGTCGGAAAACTAAAACGAACGCTGGCAGCGGCGGAAACCGGCGTTCCCGAACATTCATACCGCCTATTCGTTACCGACAAGAAAACGAATTTAAGTTTCCTGGTCGACACCGGAGCGAACATTTCGGTGCTACCTCGAACAAAAGGCCAACTAACAACGCCATTACCATTTCAATTGTATGCAGCAAATAACACTGTTATACCCACATACGGCGAAAAACGATTGAACTCGATCTCAGCCTGCGCCGTCCATACAAATGGAAATTTATAGTAGCAGACGTATCAAAACCAATACTGGGAGCCGACTTTTTAAAGCATCACCAGCTTATCGTCGACCTCAAAAATAGAAAACTTATTGATGGCGTCACCAACTTCAAGCTCAGTGCACCAATATGCACCATCGATGTTCCTACGATACGTAGTATTGACATATCACAGTCATACCACGATATCCTAGCGGAATTTCCCGGCACAACGCGGATAACGTCGATGCATCTCAACCCTAAAGTCAACGTGCACCATTACATCGAAACAACCGGCCCACCTATTCATTGCCGTGCACGTCCAATACCTCCACATCGTTATCAGGCAGTGAAGAAAGAATTCGAGAACATGATGCAGGAAGGCTTATGCAGACCTAGCAAAAGTCCATGGGCATCCCCCCTTCACATCGTGCCAAAGAAAAACGGTGACATTCGAGTGTGTGGAGATTACCGCCGACTTAACGATATCACTAAGCCCGACCGCTACCCTATATCGCGAGTAAAAGACTTCACATATCAACTGGCCGGGAAAACAATTTTCTCAACGATTGACCTCAACAGAGCTTACCAACAATTGCCAGTTCGGGAAGAAGATATCGAAAAAACAGCTATAATTACACCAATGGGACTATTCGAATTTCCGCGCATGTGCCCAGGTTTAAAGAATGCCGGACAAACATTCCAACGATACATACACGAAGTACTCAGAGGTCTAGACTTCGTGTTCCCTTTCGTCGACGATTTACTATTGGCATCAGAGAATGAAATTCAACATCGGAAACATCTACGCACCGTTTTACAACGACTAGAAGACAATGGAATTACAATAAATCCGGCAAAATGTAACTTCGGTAAACAGGAAGTAATTTTTCTGGGTTACACAGTAAACAAAGATGGCATCAAACCACCACAAGAAAAAGTAACCGCAGTCGTCGAATATCCAAAACCGAAAACAATAGAAGAGTTACGAAGATTTCTCGGTATAATAAACTTTTATCGAGAACACATTCCGAGCGCCGCTTCCATTCAAGCCCCTCTAAATGCGTATTTGCACAACGTAAAAAAGAAGGATAAAACAATAATCGACTGGAATGATGAGGCAACAAAAGCATTTGAAGCCTGTAAAAACAGCATCATAAACGCTACTTTACTCGCTCATCCCTCTCATTATGCAACACTTGCTTTGTTCTGTGACGCATCGGACAATACCGCAGGAGCCGTACTACAGCAATACATAAATAAAAAATGGCAACCACTCGGGTATTATTCAAAAAAGTTCTCAGAGGCACAAAAAATGTATTCAACTTTCGACCGGGAGTTACTGTCGATATACATGGCAGTGAAGCATTTTAGAAAGTCATTCGAAGGACGGAACCTAATAATCTTCACCGACCACAAGCCTTTAACATTCGCCATGGCAAAGTCACAATCCTCATCCGAAACACCGCGTAGGACAAGACAGCTTTTGTTTATCAGCGAATTTACCACAGACATACGCCATGTAAGCGGTAAACAAAACGTAGTCGCCGACGCACTCAGCAGGATAGAAACAATAGCCTGCCCAACAACAATAGACTACGCGGAACTAGCCACTGCGCAAGACAAAGACGCGACCATTGCACCCCTATTGAAGCAAAACAACATTCTACTAAAGAAAGTGAACGTTCCAAACACAGATGTCGATTTATATTGCGAGACTTCAACGTTGTACGCCCGTCCATATATACCCGAAAAATACCGCCTCGACATATTTAACAGCATTCATAACATTAGTCATCCGGGAATCCGCACAACTCGCAAACTTATAACAAAAAAATATTTCTGGCCGTCAATGAATATTGACATTGGCGTATGGGCTAGAAACTGCATAAACTGCCAGAAAAGCAAAATTAATCGACACACTACTTCGAATATAGCAACCTTCCCGCCAGCCGACCGCTTCCAACACATACACGTAGACATCGTTGGACCACTACCTACAACTGCGACAGGTGAACGTTACCTCATCACGATGATCGATCGACACACACGATGGCCTGAAGCAATACCTACCGATAACATATCAGCTGATACTGTGGCTGACGTTATCTACAAACAGTGGATTTCGCGTTTCGGATGTCCAACAACACTAACCAGCGACCAAGGTCGTCAATTCGAAAGCTTTCTTTTTACCAACTTAATGAAGATTATGGGAATAAAGAAAAATCGTACAACTCCATATCATCCGCAATCCAACGGCATCGTCGAACGCTGGCATCGCACACTGAAGACCGCACTGCGTACCAAACTTAGCAACACAAGTTCTTGGATCGACGAACTACCAACCGTGTTACTGGGACTAAGAGCCGCTCTACGGAGCGACACCGGCGTCAGCGCAGCTGAATTAACTTACGGCTATAACTTACGGCTACCTGGCGATTTCTTTCAAAACAACTGCACCAACTCAACAGCTATGAACTATACTTACGTAGAAAAGTTACGGGAATACATAAACAATAACAAGCCACGTTTCACCACATCGCATCACAATAGTAACAAACACATGTTCGTGCACCAAGATCTAAAAAAATGCACGCACGTGTTTGTCAGAGTCGACGCAGTAAAAAAACCACTTCAACAACCATATGAAGGTCCTTATCGAGTCGTGGAGCGCACAGATAAAGTGTTTACGATCCAGTTACCAAATCGTCAAGCAGCTATCTCCATCGACCGATTGAAGCCTGCATACATCATAGAGGAGAGTTATGCAACAGATACAGATTACCAACATACGCCTGAATTTACCAGTTACCATAATCATACCTTTATAAGATTACCACATCAAAGCACGAATACCACCACAACATTACCATCAATGCCGTTACCAGACTCAAGTGTAAGAAACAACGACGTGACGTCACAGCCAGCAGTGAAGCGAACTAGATCTGGCCGTGTCGTCAAACTGCCAGTACGTTTCACTTGAAGGGGAGTACTGTGGCTACACCACCAGTAAGACAGTAATAAGACTACATCAGTTAATGGAAAATTTATTTGTGTATCCGCCAATGAAATAAGGAGCTCTTAAAAGAACTATTTCAACGTCACTGTCCGTATGAAACAAAGGAGAAAGCAACGCAACAAGTGCGTGTCAACAGCTGCGCGCCACATGTCAACCTTCCGCAGCGTAGTCACCCGCACGCTCACCCGACGCCTGGCAAAAGGGATCTCGTTAACTCTATGCCAGCCTTTATACGCTACGTCACACGATCCCTCGCCCCGCGTCTCAGTCCCTTTCCCTTTCCTCTCGGCACTTTCCCCTTCCATTGTAAATATTGTAGCTTTCTTGTAATTGGTTTAAAATGTACATTTCTCATTGGTTAAGTTTGTATTTATAATTTTAATTGGTTAATATTATATTACGTTTTAGTATAAGTAGCTGTAAGATTTGTAAATAAAACATTCCATCCTTCCACCTTCTACGGAGTTTTACTACCTGACGACAAGCAAGCCTACGACCCGATCAGAGTTGCCAAATAGTCTACAATTATCCTACATTAGAATGTAGATTAATTATATTTTAATACAAATAAAAAAAATCAGTAGGTAGTGAAATGCTATGCGTAAGAAGCTATGCGTGTTATAGGTCTGAATATACTGAGATAACGGATAACAGAAATGAATAGCGACGAAAAACATATTGCGCCGACCCATAGCTTAGTGGGAGACAAGGGCTAAAACTAGAAGAGATGGTGAAAATGCTAATTCTTTGGTTGTTAAAAAATATATACAATTCTTTTATAAAATTATAATTCTTAAAATCTTGTGTAGCCGCCATCTGCCTCTATAACAGCTTGGAGACGTTCCCTCATCGAGCCCACCAGTCTTGAGCAGATATCAGACCCACGTGTTTCCTCCCAAACCTCATTGCAGTGCCCTTGTAGTGTTTCTGCTGTTCGTTCATTACGGTTACAGCATCTCTGAACCATAAGACCCCACATATTTTCAATAGGGATGAGATCTGGCGATTTTGCAGGCCATGGTATCAAGTTTATTTCCGGATGTGCATCAAACCAAGCACGTGTTACCCTTGCTTTATGTAAGGGACAGTATTAAATTGACGCATTTCATTTTCTGGATAAACGTTCCGGACGGATGGCAACATAGCATTTTGGAGAACATCAACATAATCTGATGCCTTTGCTCGTGGTGGCAAAAAGGTCAAGTCTCCAACACCATCAGCAGTCATCCATCCATACAAATTTACCGAGATACAACCCGATTCTCTATTTGGCACGACATGATTTTGCGTGTATCGCATTTTATTGAATCGCCAAAGGTGTAGACGCCCGTGTTGACTGGATTTAAGTTTTCTCGTCACAGAAAACAGTGTTACTCCAATCAAAATCCAAATATTCTATGGCGAAATTAAATCTAGCCATTCTATGAGCGTCAGTCATATAAATTTTCTTTGCATAACGCCTGTGATGTAAGCCCATGTAATGTAAATGGTTTCTAATGGTTTGGAGAGTCACGTCAAATATGTCGGCAAAATAACGCGTTGGTATAAAGCCAGATTCATCATAACTCCGTCTCATGAAGACTCGCTGAGTATCTGATATTTCAGGTCTACGACCGCTACGACTCCGAGCGTTCAAATTCCCCTCGCTTTCTCGTCTTATCCAAAGACGGACAGCTTGTCTCTATAATCAAAAATAAAATATGAATAGAAAAAATAAAAAAAAATTTTTACACTCGGCCTTGGTCTGAGATTTTACATTAAACTCACGTCAGACATAATAATACTTACCGACACATTTAATTCTCTAGAAATCTCACTAATATTCAAACCATCATTGTGTAATGCAATTATTTGTGCTCTTTCGTTAATGGATAAATTTCGGGGCATTGTAGTGTAAATTAATTAGGAAAATACCTACGGAAAATGCCGAGAAAATATTTGACATGAATTGTCAAGTGATATATTCTTTTTCAGTAAAAGAGTTTTCGTAACAAAATAGTTTCCACTTTGAAGTGACCTACTTAAATTTTAAATTTATGAAATATTGTGAAGACTATTTGTTGTTGCAAATTATTATCTAATGCATAGGCTGCAAAGGTCAAAATAACATTTGTGCTCTACGACAACACGTCAGCATTGTGCATCTCTTTTATTGTTTGTATGCAATTCTAACGTACGCTGGAAACGCGAATAAGTAAACTAGCGACCGTCGGTTCAAATCTGCGACGGTATAGAGATTTTGAGCCCTTTTGTTTTGTTTTTTTTTTTGTATTCTGTTTCAAAGCAAATTGTATGTAAGTTTAATGATATAATTAATTACACAATAAAATCCACTTCAGTGAGAATTATCAAAAGGGATTTTGTAGTTCTGTGATACTGAATTCATCGACTATGTTTGCAAAAGCTTGTTCTGGTTCTCTTAATATCATTAAAGGGCGAGAGTGCTTGCAATGCCCCTTTTGTGACCAAATATATTGTTACGGGTTCGGTGCTTGGGTCAATTAATAAGGCTGCTTAGCTTGAGTATATATTTATTAGTTAAATAAGGGTAATAAGAAAAAACTGTAACAAACAAAAATAAATTTATAAAAACAGTTCGTAAGTTACTTAACTAATACATACTTATCAAATAAACGAATACATACCCCTTGTCGGGCTTCTAGTTAACTTTTGGATCGTCCTATATACAGATTGCAATTTAGTAGTTACATATGTTATATAATTTGTATCACCATATCACATTATTTATCACAATAAATGAATTATTTTAAAATTACATAGTAAAATTTATACCATTCATATTGTATTGTATTATAATTTCATCTTGTGCATAGGAGAATTTCTTACGAACTGACATCCATAATGAGTATAATTGATTAGTCACAATTTTAAATTACGAAAGACGAATAATAAAATGAAATGATGTTGAATTTCAAAAAGTAAAAAGTTTGCATACTGAAGCCTAGGAAAACAAACGGTGGCATGGCACACCGTTACAATATGACCTCGATTGCGCCAATGTTCCAATAACAAAATTCAGATCGATGACAAATGATCACAAGCGTACTTGGAAGTGCCCTAATTGTCTCATGAAACAGCGGAGGACTGGAGATAACACCAACACATCTTTGTGTCAACCTTCAACCATACAGAGTGTAGATGAACAGAGTGATAAGACTTGTTTAAATGACAACGCAAATGTCACCCTACGAAATAAGTCACAACGTTCACAGCAAGTAAAGTTAGCTGGAGAAGGAACACCTACTGGTGTATCCGAAGAACGTCTACGTGTTATTATTAGACAGGAGCTAACAGAAATATTAAAAACTAATCTCAAAGCATTGGTGAAAGAGGAGTTATCTAATATCGCTCAGCAACTATCTGGCTTTCATGATTCTCTGACATATTTCAATGGGAGTTTTGAAGATATCAAAAGGGATATTGAGAAGATTACTCTTACTGTAAAATCACTGGAAACAGACAACATTAAACTTTATGCCACTATAGCTGATCTGTCAGTCAGGCTATCTTCACTGGAACAAGTATCGCGTGAGTCCAATATCGAAATCAACGGAATTCCGGAGAGGAAGTCTGAGAATTTGATCGGTGTGGTTTCTCAATTGACCCAGTCCGTAGGGTGTTCGGTGGCAGTCGACGATATCCTTCATGTTACTAGAGTGGCAAAACTAAATCGTGATAATAAACGTCCGCGTTCAATAGTTGCCAAACTTCGTAGTCCTCGTCAACGGGTTTCACTTTTGGCAGCAGTATCGTCCTATAATAGGAAGAACCCGAAAAATAAACTAAACACTACACACTTTGGCTTGGAAGAACCTGGGCATCCAGTGTTTGTTTCAGAACATTTAACACCAGCTAATAAGTCACTACACGCGGCTGTTCGCATGAAAGCTAAGGAAATGTCATATAAGTTTGTATGGGTCCGTAATGGACGTATATGCAAGAAAGGACGAATTTAATCAAGCCATACAAATTAAAACTCCTGATAGTGTTAAATATATAATCTGACCCTATTATATGTCTTCTATTTATATCTGTATAATTGCAAATGTTGTTGTGACTTTTGTGGGATTTATAATGGATATATATTACCAAAATGATAGAGGAATTAGAACTAAAACATCTGAGATTTATCAAAACATTGTACAGTCTAATCACAATGTTTTGGTATTCACTGAAACATGGCTTAACGGTAATATCTGTAGTAGTGAATTTATTGATGATCGTTTATATAGAGTATACAGTCAGCAGGCTGTACGGAAGGATCGTGAATTATCTACTTGGAACGATCTGACTTCTGGTGTCCCTCAGGGGGGGATTCTTTCTCCTTTACTATTCTCCATATTTATAAATTACCTCTCTTTCTCGCTTGGTTGCTCTTATCATTTCTATGCAGATGATCTACAGATATATGTACAAACCACGACGGAGGAAATTAGGTCGGGCATTTCTAAGCTGAATAATGATCTATCTAATATCAGCGAATGGTCGTCTCATTTTGGAATTTCCGTTAACCCAAGGAAATGCCAGGCTATTGTCGTTGGGAGCTCCAAACAGCTTTCTAAGTTGGATACCGGCTTGCTCCCGCCTGTAGTGTTTGAAAGCTCTATAATACCCTTTAGCTCTAGTGTCAAGAATCTCGGTCTTCATATTGATTCGGAGCTGAAATGGACAACACAGGTGGCGGAGGTTAGTCGTGCTGTTACTTACTCATTGCGTTCCCTTAATCGTTTCAGAAGTTTTCTGCCTATTAAAACTAAGGTCACTCTTGCTGCCTCCCTTATTCTACCACTCATTGATTATGCGGATGTCTGTTACTCTGACTTAAATGAGGATCTACTGAATAAGTTGGACCGTCTTATCAACAATGCCATCCGCTTCGTCTTCTGCCTTCGGAAATATGATCATGTTTCTTGCTATCGGTCGCAGCTTAAATGGCTCCCCGTACGTCAGCGGAGACAGCTACGTTTGCTCTGCACTCTTTTCTGTTCTCTCCAATCCACATTCTCCTGATTACTTAAAATGTAAATTCCAGTATCTTTGCGATTCGCATGATCGACAACTCCGTTCTTCTAACACACTCTCACTTTCTACTCCTCTTTTTCATTCCGGCTTTATGTTCGACTCTTTTACCCTCCAAGCCATACGACTGTGGAATAGTCTCCCTGACCCCATCAGAAGATCTCCCAATAAATTTATTTTTAAACGTAAAGCTCATGCCTTTCTTATGAAAAATATGTGAAATTCATCATCAGTATTATGTATCTATATTTGTGCTATTGTATGTATATATGTAGTTGTATGTATATATAAATATATATATATATATTTTTTTTTAGTCTGTTTCTATTTCTATATTCTATGCATAGTTAATCTTTTATTAATGCCGCCATCGCGTTTATCGTTTTTCCTAAAGGTTGACTGGGAGAGAATGCCATTAGCATTAAGTCCGCCTTTTGTACCTTTTTTTATTACGGGTCAATAAAGTTTAATAAATAAAAAAATAAATAAATAAATATTTTCCGATTAAACCTCACGCTACTTACAATTATTTTATAGCCGACTTCGCTTCCATTAGTTCGAACTTGACTGCTGTTGACTGGTACAAAGAAATTGCGGGCTTGAACGATGTTAATGAGATGGTCGAGGTTTTGTATAGCGTACTGCATTTAGCAATTGAAAAGTATGTACCGAAACGCAAAATAAAAAAAAATAAGAATCCACCGTGGTTTACTCATGCATTAATTGCATTGAGGTCGGAGCAGGATAAGTTAAGACGAAGGTACCTTAAATATAATAACCCGAGGGACAAACTGGAGTATGACATTATAAGAATTCGATGTCACAAACTTGCACAGAGATGTTATTTGGAGTACAAATCTCGTCTTGAAAGCGACATTCATGCAAATCCAAAGGCATTTTGGAGACATTAAAAACAAACGTAACGGACACTCAGAAATGCCATCACAAATGTACCTAGATCAGACTTATGCTGACACAGGTCCTGATTTGGCCAATTTATTTGCTGATCATTTTTGTTCCACGTACGCAACTATTAGCCATCCATCTGCTTCTTATGCTACTTGTAACGAAACTTTTATACACAGATCACTGAGTTGCATTCATATTTCAGAGGATGAAATATTGAAAAAAATTAAAACTCTCGACATAAGAAAAAGTGCAGGCTTGGATGGTATTCCTCCCATACTTGTGCAACGCTGTGAACCATGCTTAAGTCTTCCTTTGTACCTTATCTTTAATAAATCGCTTCATAGCGGCATATTCCCCACTTCTTGGAAAATAGCTCGCGTAACGCCAATACATAAAAAGGGTAATGAAAGTAATATTGTAAACTATCGACCCATTTCTATATTGCCTTGTTTTTCCAAACTTTTGGAAACACTCTTATGTCCCGTAATTATACGTCATATTGAACCTATTTTGAGCGATTTTCAACATGGATTTCGCAAAGGCCGCTCTACGGAGACCAACTTAATTTCGTATACGTCCTATTTGTCTTACCATATAGACAATGGATCACAGATTGACGCAGTATACACAGATTTTTCTTGTGTCTTCGACAGAGTAAACCATAGCGTACTTATAAAAAAACTAGAATCATGTGGTATTCACGGGTCACTCCTTGTTTGGTTTGAATCATATCTGGAAAGGAGGACGCTACCAATTGTAGCAGTGAACGGTTTCGTGTCTCGTTTGTACTTTGTTCGGTCCGGGGTGCCTTAGGGTTCGAATCTAGGACCAATACTATTTTCAGTATTTGTGAATGACATTCCTAATGTAGTTAAGCACTGTAAAGTATTATTGTTCGCGGATGATTTGAAGTTGTTTAAGGAGGTGAGTTCGAGTGCTGATTCTTTGCAACTGCAGGGTGATTTGGACAGATTAACAGATTGGTGCTTTATCAACGACATGACATTGAATCCAAAAAAATGTTTCTACATCAAATTTACAAAGAAGAAACTTCCACAGCTCAACACCTATAATCTGGATGGAGAAAGAATAATCGAAGTAACCGAGATGCGGGACCTGGGAGTGGTTATAGATTCAAAACTAAAGTATACGTCTCATATAAACAATATAATTGCGAAATCGGCTCGAATGCTCGGGTTTCTTAAACGAAATGCGAAAGACTTTAAGGTAAAAACTTTAAAGACTAAAGACTAAAGGTAAAGACTTTAAGGTTAAGGTTTTGTTGTATAATTCGCTTGTACGCAGTCATTTGGAATACGCCAGTTCTGTTTGAAATCCTTCTTACGTCTCCCATTCACAAAGGATCGAGGGTATTCAGCGTGCGTTTACGAGACAGCTAGCGTTTACTTCTCGGGGTATTTCCCACAGGTGCTCTTATGAGCAAAGACTGAAATTTTTCAATATACCGTCCTTAAGAACCCGCCGTACTGCTAACGACTTGTTTTTGTTATACAAAATTTTGAACGGCCACACTGGATGTATTGACCTGTTGGAGCAAGTTTCGGTTTCTGTTCTATATCATGTGCCCCGCCACCCAATCGTAAAACTACTTCGGGGTCCCGTATCACGAACTGATTTGGGTTCTAACGTTTCGATTTCACGAATGTGTAGCAACTATAATCGGGTTTGTAGTGTGTGTGGCGGAGTGGACTTATTTCACGACAAATATCGACATTTTCGAGATAAAATAAAAACATTTTTGTACCAGTCAGCAGATGTATTGTAATTGTAATCATTTGTTTTACTTTACTTTCTGTTTATTGCATTTTATATATATATTTTAAACATAATTCTACATGGTTATTATTGTTGTGAACTGTTATTCTGACATTTACGTCCAAATTTATTTTAAAATGTTTATTTTGATTTTATGTTTATTTTGAATTAGATTTTTACTTTGATGTTAATTTAGATTTAATTTAATTGTAAAGATTGATTTATAACTAATTTACGACTAATTTATTCTTATTTAATTAATTTTGTATAATTTAATAATCTGTGATCAAAATTGCTTCAATACCAATATCGTGTCGCCTAAAAAGGTGTACGCATCAGACCGATAATTTATTGATACTGTACTGCAAAATATGTATTAATGCATACACTGTTGGTGTCCTATAACTAAATAAATAAATGACAACTCTTCCGGTTTTTTTTTCATGTTTAAAAGTAAATTAGTTTTCAAAACTCAATAAACAACTCATTTCCTATTTGTACTTTTTCGTATTTGTATTGATATCTACGTATCGAACTTTAAAATTTCAGTTTTTTGATATGTTAGTTAAAATGTACGGAAATGACTGTCTTTGGTTACATTAACTATGCAGCGTGATACATGATAGCGCAAAAAAATTAGATTATTATTTTGAGAGTCATTTTATTATTTTTTGTAATTAAAATGATTTATAGGTTAGTTATTTCCGGTTATAATCAAAATATATAAAGACGGTAATGCAACCAATCACTAAATAGAATGAAAATGATGATTTAATTCTTAATAAAATCTTTGATGAATTTTGTAATGCTTACAATATTATTTAGTCATTGAACATTTTTAAAACGACTTCCGGTAAGAAATAATTTTGAATTATCTATACAGTTAATTAAAAATGTAGAATAAGAGTTTAAAAAATAATGTTAGTATTAAATAAGATTAGATCCATTATTAAGATAGTTTTGTTATTGTTTCGTCAATATCTTTAATATATTAAAGTATTTCCGGTCTGGGACTGTTACCACGTGTTAATGATTTTAAAGGAAGTTGATGTTTAAAATATTATGATTATCACTTATTAAGTTTATTTCATTAAGGGTTATTTATCGATTGGTTTTTATAATTTTATCTAGAGTTAATTAAAATTAAACTACTTTTGTATCGATTGTGGAAGAGCGACATCACTGGTGGGGATTCTTATTAAAAAGAGCCGCACTCAGTAGTGGCGCCGTTTGATTCCGCTCTCTGCTTTCGTTGCGTGCACTCGTGCACGTACACGATCCTCTTCTATCTCCACATACTGTAAGTACATCTCGTGCCTTCTGCACCCCGAGCGCAGGCCCTGCTGATTTTGTTTTTTTCAAAACATCAAACCAGTAGGACTTCAATGCAATTAATGACTCTCAAGTTCTTGAGTTGGTGGATACCTAACGGTGGCAACTAAGCCAACTGAGCGGTCCCGGTGCGCTCGCTAAGGCCCTTCAGGCTTTAGCAACACCGAAGACCCGATCCCAGTGCACTTGGGCCTTGTCCCAAGGGTGAAGGTTTGCCGCTATATCCAATAGGGATAGCCGCAGCTTCTTTCCGCGCCCCCCTTCCCCCCTCGCCTCGACGGGGGGCAGATCGTTTTTTGCTTTTACTCTCTTCCCTCTAGCCTACCTAGGTAGGTGTGACGGAAAACAACGCGAAGTCCTTTTGCTCAAGTCCTCTTCTTGTCTCCAAAATGTCGGCTGCTTGCCTAGCCGAATTGCGACAACTACTTCCTCCCTCCATCATTGCCACAGTGCTCTTCGCGATCCAAACGGCGTCGCCCTCTCCTACGCCCCCAGTCATGGAGTGCGAAAGCGCCTCAATCAAGAAGACCGCTTCTCAGCGGTCCCCATCCCAATCCCGCTCCGCTCCCCAGTCAGACGACGACCTTTTCAGGTCATCGGACACTGACGCAACTACCAATTTTCATACGGTTCAGAATCGCAATAAGCGTCGCAAGCCACGCTCTTCCAGAGCTAGTGGAGACACTTCCTCGGACGTCACCCCCACAACCCCTCATGCCCATAGTCCTGGACAAGGTACCCTCGGTAGGCAATACCGTAGAGAAAACCTCTCTCGGTAATAAGCCTGCCAGAGGCAATACCGAGTCCGTTCCCCCACCACGGGCTAATACTTCCCACAGTATTACCCCTCCCCCCGCCCGCCCGCACAGCAAGTGCGATCCGAAACCGGGCAAACCTAAACCCCCGCCGCCCGTTTTTATACGGGACAAAGCTAGATGGGCAGAGGTAACAAACCTCTGCTCGTCAAACAAAATCTGCCAAAAACATGGGTGTAGCCATCCGGGTGGAAACACCCTCTAGTGAGGACTTCAGAGCCCTCACTAGACTTATCACCCACCACAAGGTGGGCTTTCACACTTACGCCTTCCCAGAAGAGCGTAACATTCGCGCTGTTCTACGGAACGTACCGTACGAACTCGCGACAGATCAGATCCACAAGGATCTGAACGAACAAGGATTCCCCGTGGAATTCGTGCACAAGATGCACAGTAGGGCTGGGAAACCCTTCCCCCTGGCCCTACTCATTCTCACAAATGTCCCAAATGCGCGCGACATTTTTAAGGCCAAAGACCTCAGGGTCTGCGGTCTTTCCGGGGTCAAAGTAGAGCCCCCACACCGACGTGGCACCCCTGGGCAGTGCCACCGCTGCCAACTTTATGCTCACGCGGCGGCCAACTGCTCTGCAACTCCGAGGTGCGTCAAGTGCCTCGAGCCGCACGCCACAAAGGAGTGTACTCGCACACGAGACACTCCAACCCCTCCTGCTTGCGTGCTGTGTGGCCAAGTCGGTCACACTCCCTCTCACTTGGCATACTACTGGGTCGCCAGGGCCTTGCGTGCCGACGCGGTCACCCACACCCCTCCTCTTCTTCGTCCCGATGGCACCACAGCCTTCGAGGACGATGAGAAGGCGGAGTGTTTCGCTGATAGCGTGGCCACGCAATGCTCAATTAGCACCCAGGAGTGTGACCAAGATCACATACGGGCGGTAGAGGAGGAGCTATCAGCAATGTACTCCCCCCCTCTACCCCCGCCCTCCGACCCCCCCCCCCAAACGACCCCTCACCCGTTTCTTCTGATGAGATCGTAGATGAATCGTAATAGGCATCCCCAAACCGGGGAAACCCCCCAACCTCCCCTCCAGCCACCGTCCCATCAGCCTCTTAAAGGCATTAGGGAAACTCTTGGAGAGGTGTATACTCTCCCGCATGAGGGAACACCTCTTCGATCCCGAACTGGATCCCCAACTCATGATCCCCCACCAATATGGCTTTAGAGCCAAACACTCCTGTCCCCAACAGGTTCACCGCATAGTGGAGTACATCTCCAGCGGTTTCTTACCTCGCAAACAAGACTGTAGCAGTCTTTTTCGATGTTGCCAAAGCTTTCGATAAGGTTTGGCACACAGCTCTCATCGTCAAGCTACACAGACTGAACCTATCCTTACGACTGGTTCGTCTGGTAGCTTCTTTCCTCGAACACCGCACCTTTCGTTTCGGACACGAAGGTACCCTCTTTTCCCCCCGCGCCATCACCGCGGGGGTCCCGCAAGGCTCGGTACTTGCACTCCTCCTGTACATTGTGTACGCAAACGATATACCCATTCCCCTTAAGGGAGTGGAACTCTCTCTCTTCGCGGACGATACGGCTCTGTATTACCGGGGCTCATCCCTACCCAACATCCTTCCCAGGCTTCAATCTTCCATTGATGCCTTAGGCGATTGGTTTCGCAAATGGCGAATCGAAGTGAACCCGGAAAAATCTTCCGCAGTTTGCTTCGACGCTAAGCGACGCCGCCTCCCTCCCAAATACCCTCCGCCTAGAATGTTAGGTAAATCGATCAAAGGCTCTCCTTTGTTCCTCACGTCAATAGAGTCACACAGACAGCTCGACGTTTTCTATTTCGACTCAGCCCTATGCTGGGCCGACATAGTAAAATGTCCCTTCGAAATAAGCGAACGCTTTACAAGGTCTGCATACGTCCGGTGATGACGTACGCCTCTACCGTATTCGCCCATGCCGACCCCAAAGTCCTCTACAAATTGCAAATAGTGCAAAATCTCTTTTGCCGCCGAGCGGCAAACGCCCCTTACTACATCCGCAATGCGGATCTACATAGGGACCTCGATGTTCCCACTATCCAACAGTGGTCAAAGCCTCTGAACGCTTCTTCAAAGCGGCAGAGGATCACCCCAATCCCCTCATCCGTTCTGCCGCGGACTATGTGCCGCCCTCCTCCTCTCCTCTCGCCCGTAGGCCCAAATCCGTCCTCACCGATCCGCCATCCAAACTTTCCGCCGACCTGGACCTCCTCCTGGAGGCCCAGCAAGCGGATCCCGCTCCTACCCCTCCCGACCCTTCAGGTCAACCCCCGTCTCCGTCCTCTTCGACCGCTATCCCTTCAGGGTAGCGGCCGCACTTTTTAAGGGCATCACGTAGCACCCTTCTGGTGGTACGTGATAGCTCCCCCCCGACGACCACGACCCCTCAGGTCAACCCCCATCAACTCTGGCTGATCGTTCCCCTTCAGGGAGTCAGCTGTATTTCAATCCGATGTGCCGAGCCCCCCGGGGTTAACGGCTAAACATTTCGACGTCACTATTCATGTAAGTGAATAGGGACGTCTGCGCTACCCCCCCTTGCGGGGGGGCAGTCGCTCCGGTGAAGGTTCATTGCCCCATCAGGGAACGCAACCAGTAGTCCAAGGCGGTGTTTAGTCAGTAAGTCTGACATAACCCTCACAGCCGGCTGCGTTGGTATCCAATGAAGGATTCACCGCCTCCTTCCTCCGTTGATGGGAAGGTGGTTCCGAGCCCTTAAGGTTGAGAACCGAAAAAAAAAAAGTAGTGGCGCCCCATTCTTGCTCTGTCAAACGCTGAATAAACTAAAGAGTTAACTTGTAAGACGTGTTTTCTTTAACTCACCATGGAGGATCAACATGATCTCTACCAAGAGGAAGATCAGACTCTAACATACATGTTTATTTATCATATTTAAAAAGCACTGATGTGACAATTTCTCTAGTAAAAAAGTAACAGTTCCTTTTTACGTCATGATGCGCGCTGCACTCGATTCATGGTTCACCACTTACTGCGCACCCAGCGGACATGTAATACGACAAAAAATCTACTGGAAATTTTGGGCAATATTTCCAATGTGCTCGGGAGTTTTCCGGGATTTCCAGATGTACATCACTAGTTGTAATATAGGTAGGCATATAAAATATAATCGTCAACAGAGACCTATATTTACTAGTGTGTGACGCCATTGAACTTGAAACCACTTACAAGGCTTTTACGTCTTAGATAAAATGTCAATAAATATTTTATTTTATTTTGTGTTATCTGTAAAAATTATACAATATTCTGTTTAAAATAAAGTGTAATCTGTTATTATGCTGTTTTCTTAAAGGATGACCACAGTTATTCAGGAATAAGTTTAAAAAGTTATTTGTTTTGCTGTTTAAATTGATGAGTTTATATATGATTTTTTTTTTTATTTTAATAAAGGCAAAGGGATCTATTTTAATCCGAACAGATTAACCCAACAATATTTCTAACCTTATAGTAAGAAACTACAGTTTAACCTTCATAAAAACATTCCAACGTTTTTTTCTAGAATTTTCAGAATTCCCTCACATTTCTGTGCTGTATTGGCGCTTACTTATTCATAAAATATCTAGATAATTAAATTTCTTCACAGATCTCTCCTATAACCAAAAACAAGAGCAATAATAACTTCAGGAAATTGAAGAAATTGGATGTTAAGAAAAAACCCATTAATAACAAATAGAAACTTATTTGCAGGTTTTTAAATACAAGGCCTGTTACATTGAAAACAAGTAGTTTAGAAAGCATCAGTGGCTCGGAAATGTTCTTCATCAATTGTTGAATAAATATGTCCTTCACCACACATCCATTCCAAAATGTTTCTGTAACAAATTATTTATAGAATAAAGTAAAACAGTTGCTTATTAAATTAATTCCAAATAAATGTCATCAACAACATACTCAAATTCAATTTGTGACATACGATCCTTCAGTGTAGCATACATGTCCTGCTTACTGATACCCTGTTCCAGTGTTGATGCACGAATCAGATTGAATACCAACATTTGGCGAGGATTTAATCCATTGACTGAACCATTGTTATCATTAACTGCAACCATGGAATTAGCTGGTAGACCACTGGTAAATGTTGGATTACTAGTTACTACTTTTTCCTGAAAAATCATGTTTTTTGAAATAATCTTTTTCACAACTTTTTAAGTACAACAGCATGTCAGACTATACAACTGTCAAATTTCTACACTTGATTTAAAACCTTATAAAAATGTGGGTAAAGTTCGAAATTGATTGATGAAATGTAACATGTTTTGGTTGCCTGATGTGCAACCATGTGTAGACAAAAAATAAAAGGACCCAATAATCTCACCTTCTTTGAATCACTCTCCATTTTAACTTTATTATGAATACATTGCAAATAATGAAAAGTTATAGCATTAACATCTGTAATTGGCATAATTTTGAATGCCATCATAACTTTCTTTCCTTTATTAGTCTTTATGTTACCAAATACTTGAATGTAATCATTAACTTGAACTCTAGGAGTAGCTTTATCCTAAAATTAAATACAATTTTAAGGTATTAAGAAGGCAGGCTGATTTATAAATCAAAACTGAAACAAAAATTGAATATGATAATGACATTATTTATGTGCTAAAACTTAAAAAGGCATGTCTTTTTAAGTTTTATATCAATAGCATATATTCATATCAAAGCAGGATGGCACTTAATTTTCTTTGTTTTACTCATAAAAAACATCAGAATTTTCAATAATATGGGTGGTAATGATATAATGTTTTGAACATCTATTCATTATCAATAAAATGTGAAATATATCAAAAATATATCCATTTTTTTAAGTCTGATTTTATATTTCTATTATAAAATTGGATTTTTTCAAGCCCTGAATTGCAAACAGTAGTATACTCATTATTCTGATGCATGTTTAATAACACTTAAAACTGTATTTGTATCAAGTTTTGAAATGTTTTATCTTTTACCAATAATTTTAAAGCATTATAATCCAAAAGCATACATCTTGTTCCATAGCTTCTTGGTCGATCCATAAGACTGCACGCATTCTACCTGTTATGTCTTGTATTGTGTAAGTTATTTTTGTACTCTGCAGTCGTATATTCCTCACTCGTGCAACAATAGACACTATTTGGATTTCTGTTCCCCATATTTTTACACCATCATCTCCACAATGTAAAGCTTGTCTTATAACTATAGGAGCTGTACGCGAAGCTCGCCGTGTCTAGAAATAGTAAGTATAATGTTAAAATAAAGCAGGTTAGCTTTACATAAAAAACAAAATTTTTAAAACATACACTTTTTTGAGCTTGGTTTGGGGTAGTGACGTTGCCAAATTGACCCGGGGAATTGAAAAATCCCCCACCCGCAACAGATTGATCTAAAATGTTAAGAATATGGTTTGTATATTAGTCATGCCACTTCATGATCAAAGACCGAATAAAAATTGTAGCATGATGATTCGGAGGATTACCGTTTCGGCACTACGTCAAGATGAATATCTTATATTAATGAATATTGATACAGAACTTACCATTCCACATATTTGAAAATTTATTTGTGTATATTATTGGTTAGTATACACAATTATTAGTATGTATATTATAAACAACTTTTTACTAATATCATAAACCTTGAATGAAAAGAAAACAGTCGGTAAAAACAAACCACAATACAAACGCGCCAATTCTTGTGTACTCCTGTCAGTGTCAATGTCAGAGTAAGTAGTAGTAGTTTCGTCCATAGGCCAGGCGAAGGAACTATGCCATACAGTCAAATCTTGGTTATATTCTTTATTATGTCAGAGTAAGTAAAACATAAATGTAGTCGTATAAGTATTTTTAAATCATAAATGATAAAATTTAATCGAAAGCAAAGGGATCTAGTTCATACATACTTATACTAGATGATGTTTCTCCCTGTCCAGTAAAAAAACTTCGGTGTTGATGTTTCATTCTGAATGTGAAACCGAGGTTCCTTTTTTTACTATAAATTAATCTTGGGTCATAGAAAACTGCTAATGTGAAGTTTATTGAAACATCATATTCCATCCGACAAAATAATAATAATATAATAAAGTCTGTCTGCCTCAAAAAACTGTCGAACAGGGTTTATTGACGCTCCGGGCCTCTGATGAGGTTAGTCCACCACTGATCATATTGTTTTAATTTTTATAGCTTCAAAATAAACTAAGACACAACAGTGTGCTTCTCTGAACACTTTTTTTCAATTGTAGTTAAGTATGGCTCGCACATCGATTTCAAGGTATCGCCATCTCTGGCGTCGAGTGTTTGATTCCCGCCCCCTAATTGTCTAATTTTAAATCTATTGCAATCGCTTTCAGTTTCAAAGGTGTTGCACAACCATTGCTTGTTTCTGAAGACAGATGAAAAAAAAGTATTTGTATTATGCAGCAATGGTTGTGCAACACCTTTCAAACTGAAAGTGATTGCAATAGATTTAAAATTAGACAATTAGGGGGCTGGTTGGGTCAATGTAGAAAATTGATTTTTCTTTATTATTTTAAGTCTGAGTGTTGTGGTACTTACGTTGTGTCACACACTAAAAAAAAAATGTCAAATATTTTTCCGTTTCGTTCATCCGTCATTCACATCACATTCAGTCAGCAATTTAACATTTTATAAGTCGGTCAGTCATATAGGAAATGGTTATGTAGTTGGTTCGGTTGTAATTCGGTAAAGGACAGTTGCGTCTCATAGATTTTCGAAAATACCTACTAAATGTTGACTGGCTCCAAAAACATTCCCAAGTAGGACTTTATATTTCGGTTTTGTGTTCTTGTAGGTAATGTGTGTATAATAAAATTATCTTTATAATTATTTCTTTTGAGAAATAACTCTAAATCTATTGAAGACTTGCAGTGTATGTTTTGTAAGCACCATGGACCAGAGTGGTATTAGTCCAAATACTTCCAATCAGGAGCTGGTGATAAATAGTGACAATGATTCTGCTACGGCGCTGCTGCAGGAGAAGCAAGAAAGACGAAATGAGACTTTAAGGGATGTCAGTTTTGTAGAATACATGACTGTCGGAATATTGTGTTTCGTCAATCTCATCAACTATATGGATAGATTCACTCTTGCAGGTAATTAATATCATTAAGGTATGACTTGCTATTATGACTGTAGTTCTGTGACCATAGTTTCTTTCCAACAAATATTTTCTTTCTTTTCAAAAAATTTTGTATCAGTCTTCTGCACAATTCACTTGTTTATTACTGAACATTGTTTTAGAAAACAACAATACACAATATGCTTTTATAATATATTCAAACTAAAATTTGCAGTTTATCTGGTAAATAAGATTCTATATGCTATTGGGAACTTTATTAGTAAGTAGTAAAACTTTTAATCCTTAATCTATTATTGTCAATATATGAAACAAAGAATAAATGGAATAAGTATAAGCATAGGACTCGGTAGGGCAAGACAATTTGGAACAACAGGCAGATCTTAAAAATATATCAAATATGTCAGTCAGTTTTAAGGTTAGGCAATTAATACAAATATTAAAATTTATAAATTACAATAGTAACCTCAATTACTAACTTTTATTAACATTATATTGGTTGAGTAAATGTTATATTTTTTCCATGACAAGAATTTAAGTAAATTATATGTCTTTATGTTTGTTTAAGTAAATTATATGTTTTTTTACAAACAATGTTTTTTAAGTGTGAAATTAATTAAAAAAACTGATGTTTGTGTTCTTAATATGCCCCAAAATTAATATTTTTGTCATGAGGTATGTGTCTTTCCATAGCAATAAACAAGAGAGGAAGGGGTAGGCCCCCCAGTCTTATGCTAATGACTGTCCAAAGGGTTATGGAAATTCTCTCACTCAAACCACACCTGAAATAGTTAAGTTAGCCTACCCTGTATTGCAGGTAAAGGCAAGGGCATAGACTAATACAATTTACTTATTGACTTTGTGTTGATTTTATGATTTGTAGTTAATTGATTTTCACTGTTAACCATGTTTGAAATACTTTTTGAAAAAATTTAATAAATAGTGGGTCAAAAGTAAACAACACAATGAAGGTCCAATTTTACCAATATATTCTCCCTAAATTCTAATATTAGATCTAGGTCTATCAAATAATTTACAAAGTTAAGCATAGATCACATTTTATAATTCTCTATTGATTAAATTATATTTTTACAAAAGATAAACCCAATATGTACGATACAATACTGATAATATTATTTGGTTAACAACAAATCAGGCATTTTGTGTCGGTAAAGTTGAATATTAAATAGGTTTCTACTAGATAAAAAATCTTTTGATTACAACAAACATTGCTTTTTGTTTAAATTAATTATTGGAATATCCCCATTTTCGTAATCACCCCAAAGTACCCTACCAAAGGCTAGGCTGTAGACAAAGATCTCTTTGCTTTTGTTTTAATTTTCTGCACTTTATTTCTTAAAACAAGGTTTATGGCTGTGCATAGTAGTATTTCTAGGCAAACCATATTATTTTTTTTAACTTAATTCCTGAAACTTTGATGAAAGATAAAGGATTGAGTCTAGGTGCTATGATAATTTTCTTTATAGTGTTTAGATTTTTTCGAAATATAGTACAAAAAAACATTCTCCTTTGGTGCTGAAAGTCCTAAATTGGTAAGCCTGTCGGCGAAGGATTTGTAAATCTGCTATGGGTAGCGTCATACACTATATCACAGGAATAAAGTTTAACTGTACATATTGATGTTTTGTTGTACTACATATCCAGGCGTTTCACGAAAAAATTGCGACGTGGGAATTGTACTTTCGTCAAAAAAATCTTAATTCTCGCGCGCCGCATCTACTTTTTTCTGTGAAATCACTTAAAACCGGTTTTCTCGCTTTACAAACCTAAATAAAAGATCCCGAAACTCTTCTTAAAATTAGATTATAAAAAGTTGCCAAGAATTAGTCATATTAGCGCACATGTAGACTTTATAGATTTACTTGATTGCGCTCAAAATATACCTTAAAAGTACCATTCTATAGACCAAGTGGGATGGATGGTTAATTTCTAAATTATTAATCTTAAAATTACAAAATAACTTTGAGATTCATTTTGCAAGCATATCACGGCAGACAAATCGACAGACGATAAACAAGGGAGTGATCTGATTCTATTGTATTGCGTTTTCATGGAATCCTAAAAATAGTAGAAACAATTTGCTATTTTATTTTGTTCTTTAAGTTTACATCACATCACTCAGTGTATACTGAAACGATAAAAAATATTAGTTACACTCCTAATGCGTCCTTAGCGTCACTGAATTTATGGTTTCTAGTAAGCAAAACCGGCGGTTTGCAGGGATACTGCGCTGCAGGAATAATACAGCTTGGATTTGGCTCACATTGGATTAAATCAAAATGTATGAAACTTTTAATACTGAATTTAACGTTGAGCGCATTTAATTCAACCCAATGTATTGAATGAACACTATGTATCTAATAATTCAATATTTACAGTAGAGTTCATATTGATTAAATTCTATGTTGACGGCTTTGTATGAATCATAGCAGACATCATACCGTGAGCAGTAGGTGGTACGTAGTAGAGAAACTGATGACGATAAAAATAAAAAAGTTGCATAGGTTTGAAGGGTAGTCGTTTACTCACACTCATGACATTAGTAAATATTCTTATGAGTGTAAATGTATTTTATAAATACATTGCAAGGAAATTAAATTAATCCAGTTGATCCTTACGTACGGTTGATCATGATAACATATGAGCCCGAAATTGTTTTTTAATTAGCTGGATAGAGGTTCCTTCTCTTATTTGACTCATGTTGTCGTTATGCAAAAGGTCTTGCGGCTCAAAACTGAAATAAATTAAAAGAAGTTTGGTAAATCTAGAACGGAAATTTTATTAAATATTGTATTTTCGAGATTTTCAAAAATAGCCTTGCAAAATGTATCGGGATCTAGCGCCGCCACTGCCTAAGCTCGCAAAGAACATAATTTACGCGTGACTGGAAAGCCGTCACGCTTTTGGAAGTTTTTATATAGGTAATACTTAAAATTTATACTAATATCAATATATAATAAATAGAAAAGATTTGATTGTTTGTTTGTTTGCATTGAATTGGCTCGGAAATTACTGGGCCTATTCTTTTTATTTACAAGAACCTAAATTCATACGTGGGTGATACACTCGGTTTCTAAATTGAGAATTTAATTTTAAGTACGTCTCAAAATGTACTTAAACGCCACTTAAACAGGTTTTCGTTTATGTTTTCTTAGTGTGAAACTTAAATTAATAATTAGTTGATATTTTTAACTTTCATAAATTCAGAAACTGGATGTTAGTCTATCACTACATAGTATAAAACAAAGTCGCTTTCTCTGTTCCTATATCCCTATATACGCTTAAATATTTAAAACTACGCAACGTATTTTGACTTTTTTTCATATATACGGTGATTCGAAAGGAAGGTTTTTATGTATAATACTCTTGTATTATACATAAAAATGCCGGCGAAGCCGCTGGCGGAAAGCTATAATTTATAAGGGCGAAAAAAAGTTACGATATTCATAGTAAATGTAGGTAAAAGTTACTTAGAAAATATAAACAACCACTTCGTTTCGTGCTGTATGAGGTCTCGCGTTGTCATGAAGCAATTATGGTAAAGATTGATTAATGAGTCGGGGCTGTTTACCGCTAGTTTTGCCAACATTGTTTTTTTACAACACCAGATCGGAGAAAACTAGTGAATAACACCATGTTGAACCCCCAAACAGTTACCATTACCTTTTTATTGGTAAGTTTAGCTTTAGGACACTGTTGTGGCGTTTAACTGGGGGGTCAGCCATTGCATTTTTCTTTTACAATTATCATAAAGAATCCACTTTTCATCACATGTCACAATTTGATCCCATATTCCTTCATTTCTGTACCGATTCAACAAGGCAATACAATACAAGTTCAAGGCAAAACAAGGCAATAAAACGCGTTTCTTTCTGCAGATCAGTCAAATAATAGTCAGTAGTTTGACTAGGATCGTCTTCCACCATCTCTTTTAATTCATCGTTATTCACCTGTGTGGGCGGTCTTCCTCGTGGCTTGTTCTTCAAGTCTTAAGCATCCATCACGAAAGCGTTTAAACCAAAATCGCACGATGCGTTCATTAGCAGACCCCTCTCCAAACGCAACATTGATATTGCGGGCTGTTTCTGCTGCGTTACTTCCGCGTCGGAACTCGTATTCAAAAATCGCTCAAATTTTCGCATTATCCATCTATCTTGTCTAAGTTGAATAACAAAAACAATTGAAAGTCGATATGCACATATACGATATTCACATTTTTTAAAAGAAGAACATCATAGAAACCATGTGAAAAAAGTTTCTTTTGAAAACCTCAAACCATGAAGATTCTATGTCAATTCAAGGAACCTATTACAATAAAACGGCAATTTCATACTTTAACCCCTAATATATTAATAAACGTATAAAACCTTTATTAATATTTAAGAATATTTTTGGCCGTCATTTGTATACGAAAAGAATTACAGCAATAAATCTATTAACTTCACTAGTAATCGGGGAACTAATCTCCAATCTTCAGTGTCTGCTCACGTGTTGTGCGTGGGGTACCGCTTTTCTACTGTGGGATACAATACTTACCTTGTGTTGGAATTCAATTCAAATATTTAAGTTTCTTTTTAAGATTCTATTGATGTGTCTGTCGTGGTGGGAGTCGACAAATGAAGTTGACATTTGAATTTTTGAAAGATTTTTTTATTCGGTAGGAAAACTACTGGTTATTTTTACTACTCTTGGTATTTTTAATTCAATATAGTCAAATTAAGGCATATTATTTAAGTCATGGGGAAGGTGGACAAAATTAATGCAAAAGTTATCTTTACGTTAATGGATGATTAATTAATTTAAAAGTTCAATTCATATTTGAAAATGTTGATAACCCATCCACTTAGTGCTACTTTTTGATTTCTTTTTGTTGAATTGTAGGAGTATGTGTGACTTGACTATGAATGAAATTGTCTCCAATATTTAAATGAAAAAGAAATCATAATTTAAAAACATTATTTTGTTTAAATTTTTTAAAAGAAAAAATATTTTTTT